TTTTCCTTTTCCTTTTCCTTTTCCTTTTCCTTTTCCTTTTCCTTTTCCTTTTCCTTTTCCTTTTCCTTTTCCTTTTCCTTTTCCTTTTCCCCTTTCCCCTTTTCCCCCTTTCCCCCCCTTTTCCTTTTCCCCTTTTCCCCTTTTCCCCCCCTTTTTTCCCCTTCTTTTCCCCTTCTTTTCCCCTTTTTTTCCACTTTTCCCCTTTTCCCCTTCTCCTTTTTTCCCCTTTTCCCTCCTCCCTTTTCCTTTCCTCCTATAAAAGCCATAAACCAGAGTTTAAACCAGCTTAAAATCAATTTATTCCATCTCCAATCTATCTACAGCATCTGTGCCTATTTTGGGGGATTTCATCCTAATAATTGAATAGGAATGAACATTTATTAGGAATAATAAGGATTAGGAGTGAATTCTTCTTAGGAATAACAATAACATCCAAGTAGAAATAAAATATTTATAGCTTGAAATGAGAGCAATAAAACTGAGGATCACCCACTCTGCAAGGAATTTAAGCTGCTCAGACATTATTAATAAAAAAATGGTATTTTCCACAAATTTTCCAGGTTTGATGCCAATCTGTTCTTTGGAAAACCACTCCCAATCCATGACACCAACTTAGATGAATCCAAGGATTTTTAATTTAATTTTTTTTTCAAGGAAAAAAAGGAAAATGTAGCCAGCTTGGGAATGCAATCCTGAATTTCCACTTCAGCACTGGGATGTGGAGCTGCTGCTGTGTTCTGGCTTTTCCCTGGGAGCAAAGCCTGTGGATGAGCTGTTATCCATCATTTCTTCCACAATTATCCACATCAGCTCTCCCAGCAAATGCCATGGAGCCATTACTGGGCACTTGTTAAATATGTGACGTGTCCAAACCCAGGGAAAAATGAGCAGACCAAAATTCCATCATTTCCTCTTATACAGGGATTTTTAACCTTTAAAAAGCATCTGCTCAAAAAGGACAAAAAAAAAAAAATCCTTAAAGGCAAAATTCCCACAAAAAAAAAAAACCCCTTGGGCATTTGCAGAGCCCATTGATGGGGTGTGGTGTTGGAATTCCTGGGATTTTGTGTTATCTGAATTCAGGATTATCCAGGAATTTGCTATTCCTGCTAAAAGCTGCTCCCATTCCTTTGGGAACGTCCACGAGGGTTTGGGATCCAAGAGTTTGGGTTGTCCTTTGGGGTTTCTCATGGATTTCTCCTCATGATTCCTTTGATAGCCCAGATGTTGGATCCTGAGGGAGAAATCAGGAAATCCTGGAATGATTGGGGTTGGAAGAGTCCTCAAAGTCCAACACCTTCCACATCCCAGATTTTTCCAAACTCTGCCCAACCTTGAACATTCCAGGGATGGAGAACCCAAAGCTTCACTGGAAATTCCATCCCAGCCTGGAATTCCTTCCCAAAATCCCACCTAAACCTTCCCTCTTTGTACTGCTAAATAGATTTATAATACAGAATTATTCTATTTTATAGGATTATGACTGAAGGGAAAATCCTGGAGCAGCTTTTATCCCGCTTTTCCCAGGACTCCACGCAGCAAAGTTTTGTTCCCACCCCTCCCAACCAGCAGCACTTGGAAAAAGGGAAACCTCAGCGTGGGAAACCTCAGCCTTCAATCCATAAAAAATGAAAAAATGGGCTGGGAAAAAAGAATCCAAACATCCCAAGGCATTTAAACAAATGTTCCAACACATTTATCCAACACCCTGACACATTTATCAAATTCCCAACATTTATCACCCTCTGCTGATAAGAGGGATTTTATTCCCAGCCTGTTTGAAGGTTGGAGGGGGAAGGGTTGGGAAATTCTGGTGAAATGGAATTCCTTTTATTTTCTATAAAACCCAAATGGTTTGGGTTGGAAAGGACTTTAAAAATCACCAGAATTCTGGTTTTTAGGAGCATCTCCTCTGCTGGGTGGGGCTTTGATCCCATTCCCACCCTACCAAGGGCAGGAAAATGTTGGGAGAAGGATCCCAGAGCAGTTGTGCCTGTCAGGGAGAATTCCCAGCCCCTTCCCCTTCCATCCCAAACCATTTCCCTCCTTTCCCTCTGCTGGGTCCGTTGTTTTCTCACTTTTCCTGCAGGGAACAGCAGTGCCAATCCCTGTGATTCAATCCCTGGGGATAATTGGTCCGGAGGGAAAATGGAATGAAAAGCAGAGGAGGCAGAAATGAGATTATTTTCCAGGCTCCATTGAACCGCCTGTGCCATCGGAGCGCGCGGATGTTCCCGAGGAACGGGCAGGGCCCATTTGGCTGCAGTGGAAATGTTTCATTCCTGGGGAAACAGAGCCAATTTGGCAGATTATTGTAATTGTTTTAGACTGGATCTGCTGAAGAGAGGGAGGCTGGGAAAATAAAAAACTCTGGAAAAGCGCTGAGGAACTGGGCTGGGAAAGCTGCACAGCCCCAGGGATGAGCAGCTTTGGGATGGGGCTGTGGGGCCTGGGCTCCCGCCTTCTCTTCATCCCAAAATTTGCATCCATGGGTCAATATTTCCTTT